TAAGGAAAAATACAGCAAAATGAGAAAGCAGGGTGATGTTATTTCATATACAGCTATTTTTAAAACACCAAGTTAAATTACATAGAAGTATAGCATTTTATATCTTGATTGTCTTAACTGTATGGGGAAGAATAGATCAATAGCCACAAACATGTGTTTGTGTAGAACTGGGCAATATAATCATTTCCTTTGCTGCAGTTTTACTTCAATTAAAAAAAACCTACAAGTCCAAGTCTAGAGAAAAATATTGTCCATATTACAGCATTCTTGAACTTTAAATAACAGTTGTATGCTTAATCTAGTGGGTAGGTTCTGTAATTGATAATGCATTAGTTACTGTGAAAAAGCTGTTTTCAGTCATGTCAGAAAAACAATGAAAGCATGTCATCATCATGGTAGTGTTATGGTATTTATAGAATCTATTAAAATTTAACACTCAGGAGTTTTTGCTTTTTAAAAACTGGGTGATAAAATTGGTTTCACATGTATTAAACATCAGTACGGAGCTAGCAGGTCTTTGATGCAATGGAATATATGTATCAGGGAAGTTTCCCGTTACCTCTGATGCATAAATATATTCTCTTTTTTGAAAAGAAAAATGGTTATAACAGCCACCCATTCAGCCAATTGGTTACTGAGCCAGGCTTCATTCTATTTAAAACCTTCCACCAGAATAGTGTTGGGCAATCCAGCATGGTAGAATGCCGGCCAAGATGGCTCCATACCTACCACTCCCTTTCCAGAATATTAAGCATTGCAGGACTATGCTGGGAAAATGGCTCAGACATCTTGCACTCGGGTAAACCCAGAGTAGCAGAAAAGACATGATGGACAAACTGCAGATGGCTTTGGTTATAGCTCTGTAAGGGCTTTTTTCTGAAAAAGGAGTCTAAAAACCATGCAGCTTTGTCCCATTGTAGGAAGTTATGGCATATGTACATTGCAGTGTCTGACAGAGATATCTGAGAATGCTTTAAAGCAGCTAGCATGGGCAACAGAATCAGTCTAGCTATGGTAGAAAGGCAAGCTAATCTGCCTTGCTGTTAAGGGTCATAAACATTTCTATGCTGGTGAGTCTATACTGTATTGGGTATCTCTACAGTGCAGTGCAAACCTATCACTACCTGATGGTCAATGTCATTTTGTAAATACATTTCACCTGACATCACTGCTATTGAACAGGACAAGAATTTAAACCACCATAGATAAAAGTAGAGCACTCAAACAAAACATTACAGAAAGCCTAATCTTCTGCATGACTTTTCTTGTGAAGATATTGGCAGTTATGTCATGTACTAGCAAATTGCCCATCATGAATGCTGGGGGGTGAGGCGTGGCCTCCCTTTGGATGTAGCGGCAAGGCCAGAGTTGAGGGGGCCGGGCCAGGCCAGAGCTGTGCTGCTGGCACCCCACACCACCACCACCTCCAAGGAGCAGGGCCAGGGGCAGAGGGGAGGGGAGGATGAGGCCAGTCCCACTGGCCTCGCCCCCTCATCTCAATCTGTCCCCTTTGTCCCCACTGTCATGGCTGTGCTCCGCCATCCCAGTTCATCCCCACCTTCCCCCTCTGCCTTCAAGAAGCTGAGCTGGGGGGCGGAGGGGCGAGGCCTCCTGCTCTGGCCCCCAGCCCCCACCATCATGGCGGTACTCCACCATGTGTGCCTGTCTGTGCAGAGCACTCTGATTGGTTGTTTCAGTCAGCATTGTGATTGGCTGCCAAGACAACGAATCAGAGTGCGAATAAAGCATTACGGACAGACAGACAAACAAACCAAGGCTTTTATTATATTAGAATATTAGTGAAACAATTAATATAACATTAAGGTACTCACGTGATCACCAGCTTGTAATCTCCTTAAGTTCAGGTTTCTCCTCCAGCCGTGGTGCACATCTTACAGAGCTACTCTTATGCCATCTTCTGCAGCTCTAGATGGCTCCAGCTACAGCGGATCAGTACAGGTCTGTTATGCAGTGGGATGAATAGGATTTGAGAATCCCTTCTCCAGGCAGAATTCTTACTCTTGACTAAGTAATGGGTTTTAGGGCACAGAGCAGATGTGGGACCAATGGATCTCTCATAACAGTTCCCTTTCCCAAGGCAGAATAAAATGTCCAAGACAGAATGCAGACTTATGATTGTAGATCTCATCAAGGAGCAGGTATGGTATTACTATACAGTCTGGGGCTTATAGTCTAGTGATCTCAGCAAAGCGTAGGAACCCAGTTCTGTCTCTAATACCATCTCCACTCCATCTCTGCCTTAGGGCAAATCTCTCAAAATCTCTGCCTCTCCTTCCCCTTCTGCACTGACTCTCAGGGTCACTATGAAGATTAATTAGCATATAGGAATGAGAAGTACTATGTAAAGCAACACATGCTTCCATGATGACACCTTCCCAAGGTGAACGGGATCCACTGAGATGTAGGCTCTTTTATCAATGCTGCAGAAATTACACAGGCTCTGTCAAAAAACTGCTGCAGAAAACAGGTCTGAAGTGCTGCAGAACTCTAGAAACACTGGTAATAGGATGTACAAAGTGGAAAACAACTGCTTTTTTATGCTCACTGTGGCAGCATGAATAGGAGCTTTGATTTACAAACAGAACATATTTGCTAAGGAAGATACTGAACATAAGTAGTGGTCACCAACATGAGGGCTGATTTTTAAACACATGTTGTTGCTACAATACCAGGTCTCTTGTGCTTCAGACACCCTTTATGTCCCTCTCAAGGGTGCCCTAGTGGAGACAGAATTTTGCTACCTTCACTCTTGCCTGGTGATGATGATGATGATGCCTGATGCTGATGTTTTTGCTTCTCAGTAGGGTAGCTCCATGCAATAGCAGCTAGATTGCTTCTGGTAGTGGTACTAACCACCAGTACAGAGCAGTGCAGATGCACCTACAGAATGGGTTTCTGGGCTGGAGCTTACCGGTCTTCTTAACCTCACAGGCCCAACTACGTTTGAAACCTGTGAGCCTTTTAATTCTGGGAGTGCAGTGACAGGACCTGATTAAAAGGACACAAACCAGCTTATTCAAAACAAATGTTTATTTATACCTCCAAGGTACATCACATGCAGAGCAAAGGGCAAAAACAATACAGTCTATGCATATTTTTCCTCTTATTTAAACTTTAAGACTTTCTTGCATTCAAACCTGTCTTCTGGTGGGAGAAATAGTCTGTTGTGCTGTCTGTCTCCACCTTCTGGCAGTGACATCTATCCTAGTATACACAGCCCTGAGTTTGCTTTAAACTGTATAGCTCAGGTAGTGACAGCAGCATAGTCACAGCATACCAGTCCATCAGTATGGAGCCACAAGAATATTTACCCAGGTTCCCAGGCAGGTTTTGCAGCATGGGTGGAGTTCCATGCTGCTGTAGCTATGCTGAGCTAGCTGAATACTGGGGCAAGGTAATTCAAAGCTAACTCAGCTATGTGTGCATAACTGATGTCACAGCTTGACTGCAGCACAGAAGCTCTTCTTCCCTCATACTTTGCAGGCAGCTGCTGCCAATCTGCTCACCAATTCTCCCCCTTCCTTTTCAATGGCCAGGATCCTATAATGCAGGAATGTCAGCCCAGCTGGCAGCTTGTGGGCTGCAAGCAGCCTCCGGGTGGTTAAATAGGATCCCCTGACTCCCACCCAGCAGCCACTCCCCCTATGGTTGTGGCTGCAGCAGCAGCCCAGGCTCCAGGTTTCCCCTCCCTCTGGCTTCCCCTTCCTGCCTCTGTTCCTTCTCTATGGGGTGGGGCAAGGGTTTTGTTTTGGTTTTTTGTCTGTTTTTTTTGCACTGGTCCTGGAAGCACTGCAATACCAGGTCAATGCATGGAGTGGATGGAGCAAGCTCCAGTTCCACCACCCAATACCAAAAAAAACTGCTCAATGTAGACCTCCTATGGAGGACATATTAGAGACACTCACCTGCCCTGGGGAGCCTGCCTACATGGTCACGGTGCTTCCCCTGCAAGGGGCAGCACAGCACAGCCTGCAATACTGGGGAAGCCTCCAGCCCAGGGTGCCTGACTGGCACAGTGCAGCAGGGCAGCTCACAGCTGGGAAGCTAAGGGTGATTCAGGGTACCCACTGCAGGGGTGGGGGAGTACACAGAGTGCAGCAGCAAGGTCAACCCAGGCACACAGTGCAGCTGCAAGGGGTATCTGGGCATGCAGCACAGCAGGAGAACAGGGGGTTGGCAGGGGCACCAGGGTGCACCATGCAGTGGGGGTGGGAAGCATGCAGCCCTAGGGCCCATGGCCCCCATTGATATGGCTCCTGCTAACGAGCCTGAGGGACATGCACCCCCTAGCTGCTTAGAAGTTGGACAGCCCGGCTGTAACACTTTGATCTTAGGATAAAGTCTACCTTGCTAGCCTGGTTGACACTTGGCAAGTGGACTGACCAGGTAAGGCAGGGTGTCAAACTCATCTGGCCCCTCAGACTACATGAGTGACATGGGACTGGTCCCCAGGCCTGGAATCCGCCCCCACCCCACTCCCTGCTGCATACCCATCCAGAACCGTACTTGGTGCCTGCCCCAAACCAGCTAGAATGGGCAATGGATGTGACTTGTGTCCAAGACCAGGCAGAGCAGGCACTGCATGCAGCAGTCCTTGACTGACCAGAGGAGGCATTGTGGGAGCTGGATCCAGCATATGGGGGGAGTCCCAGTTTAGCCCTGCATGCAATTTCTGTCCTGAAGCATTTGCTGCATGTGACACACGGCCAGTCCAGAATGTGTCACACGCGGCATGTTGGTCAACTTGAGGCCCAGGGCTAGCACAGGGGATGGATGATGTGGGTGTTGTGTGCAGGCCATGTCTTTAACACCTCTGAGATAAGGGATTCCCTTCTTGCTCCTTTCAAGAGCTTCTGGCTACTCTTGTTTGCTTCCCCACAACAGCTCCCTTTCACTTTATTCCTTGCCCTCAGGCAGGACAATTTCCAGCAGATAAGCCAGAACACATAGGATATACATACAAATAATACATATAAAACTCTTATTCTCCACAGTAAGTGGAGTAAATATATGATTTTATATGGAATATTAACATTTTAGTGCATTTCTTCTCCATATGTCTGTGATAGTCTCCAAGGAACAGTTGGATAAACTAGCACATTGGGCCTAGCCTATATAGCAGAGTCATATAGAGCCGCTTTGACCCTCAGACTTTCCATTTCCACTTAATATTTCCACTTAACCAGTCAGCAATTCTGTATTCTTATGAGACGTGAACTTGTTCCCATTTTTTCCTACCTGGAATGAAATACTATTCTGCTCTTTCAATGGCCTGTTCTGTATAGAGGAAAAAATGATTTACCCAAAATGATGTGCTGCCAAAGTGTTATCAGGAGATGACTGTTAAGCTTTGACAATATGGCTAAATTACCCTACTGGGATAACTTATCTCTGTGGTTCATTAAAGTGCACCAGAAGAACATCTTTCTCTCTTCAGAATGGATCAGGAGGCACCAAGTGTCAGATATTTCCCAAACTCCAAGTCCCACTTGCAAGAATTCCCAATGACCCAACTGGAAACCTATGCTATATTTGTGTTTGCCCAGGAATATTGCCTCCTTTTTGTTGCAATGGGGAGAAAGCTCTTATTTATATGTTTGTTGTTTAAAGGAAAAGAAATGAACAGATTCTTCACTCTCACACCCTTCCCTTTTCTAAATATACCTGGAATTTATTGCAGGCCAAAGGGAGGAACGATGTTGGAACCTCTTACTAAATACTGGCAGCACATTGCTAGGGGCTGGGCTGGCTCAGCAACACTGAGAATATTTTTCTATCTTGCAGTGGCACTGCTACCCAGCTACCTAGGAAGCAAGCCAGAAGATTGGGTTTGCTTCTTTATCTGAGTGTCTTTTTTTTTATGCAGAAGAGCATAAAGGCCAGATCTTCAGCTGGCACAAGTCAGCATTTCTGCCAACTGAGGAACTGGTGTTGAATGTTCCCTGTGAGGACAGTAAACCAAACACAGCACAGAGGGTTTGCAGCTATCGATAATCCCAAAGTTCTTACATTTGATGTAGCTTAATTTAAGGCACAGGCTGCTCACGCACACCGAAAGAGGCACCTCCTTCCCTCTCGCATAAAGAAATATTCAAACTGCACTGCACTAAAATGCTTTACAAGCTTCTCATGAGTTTACATCTGAGCAGACTGGCCTTTACACACTTAGCAGTTCAAAGCACATACAATGGCACTCCTAATACAGTGGCTCTCTATGGCTAAGCAATGCTTGTGATCATCCATTATCCATTTGAATTTTAAGCAACCACTCCAGTCAATTTTATGCAATCTCTTAAAACTCAATCTTTTGATCAATCATGTAAACAGGTTTTTAGCATACAGAAATGGCTTTTCTTTGACCATGAACAGAATAGTTAATTCACTTTCATTTGCTCTTTTCATCCTCAGATATGTCAGTTATCCAAATCAGCATGAAAAAACAGCACACGACTGACACACAATGGAAGGCAAAACAAATACGCAACATGAACAATTGACGAGCACCGAATCAGCTGAAATGTTTTAGTATAAATCATTTGGCTAATGCCAGAATGGAGGAATCACCAATCCATTTGCAGAACTTGGCTTTGGTTTGCAAAGACAAAAAATGTGCCAAATTCATCAAAGAATTTATTCACAATTAACACTTCTGCCAACTCTAGTTTGCTAGTACTACATAAATTCAAGACTGTTTTCATACCGAGTAAGAACTGGCATTTGATTTTCTCAGAGGACATGCAAGAGTTCCCTACTCCATACCCCAAAATATCTTAAAGCTTTAAAACTTACAGCAACTCCCTTACCTTTCTGCTGCCTGGAGAAAGTGAAGTGGAAAAACAGCTTAGTAGGACTTGGAAAAATTATAATTAGTTTTCAAATACAAATCATAAAAGCACACTCTCATCTCCTCTGTATATCTACAGACTATTTTCTAGTAAAAGCTTCTTTCATAAAATAAAGCTTTCTCCAGCAAAACTAATCACAAGTATTATTTTACATTTTAAGATATGGCTCAGACTATTTATTGTTACAATGCATTTTGAAGGAGGGTTTTGCCAAGGAAAATTTTAGATTTGTCTTCTTTTCTATTGGAAGGATTGCAAATCCACCTTCAAATGTTTGACTTAATTTATTGTAAAAAGTACAATTTAATATTTTGTGCACTTGTGTGAGGCAGTTATAGCAACTGAGGAAACCTGGGGGGCGGGGCGGGGGTAATGCTTCTGATTTTTCAGTCTCTAAGCCAACGCATAATCAAACTGGCCTTTCTCAAGTCCATCAAGTCCGTCAGCCCAGGTAGATGTCGGCATACTCCTGTATGGATCTAGGAGAATTCGGAAGCAACGGACAATGAGGATTCCTAAAAAAATAAACAGTAAAATCACAAAGACAAATGTGGTTTTCTGTTCCAGGGTCATACTAGAGTCTGGTGGAATATTCTCAGCTGGCAACAATGCAGAAGTGAATGGCTCTCCTTCCATTGTCCAGGGAAGCTGAAAGGAGTAATCCCACAATTTCCTTCTTTTCATCATCAATTTGTTGAGGTCATGGTAGAAATCACTTGAATGTACTTTTTCATCTACAGGGAAAGAGGGGGGCGGGGGGAAATATCAGATGGAAGTAAAACCTAACAGTCATTTGGTAAACATAGGCATTAGTTTTATATGACAGATATTAAGACTATTCTTGGATACCCAGAACAGTCCACTTGACAATATGACCGCTAAGTAGTATTGGGCTTAAATGTGATTGCATCCACTGTATATCATGCAAACAAAAAGATATTTACATTGCCATAAGTAAGCTGCCACTTTCAAGGGTGACCTGATCAGTAGTGACCTATAAGCACACATGAATAAAAACAATTATCACATCGTGTTTATCTGAGAAAATAATTATATAGTTGTATATAAACTGGTATTAAAAAGTACACGTATTTCAGATAAAACAAGAGAGACAAAGGGAATAGGTAATAAAGCAGCAAATATGTCAGAGCTTCACAATTTTTAATATCTGAACCAATTTATAACTGAAATGATACGGAGATGTAAAAGTTGTTAAGTTCAATTCCTTTGAAAGCATGTTCAGCTACAGCTGATGAAAAATTCAACAGACTGACTAATAAGGAGCACTGTAACCTTTGGAGCAACCAGATTAATAAAAGTGTCAGATCTCAGATGATACATGAAAAGGGAAATGGTAAGTAAGTCTTAATGATAAATAATCTTGTTATAAGAACACAGAAACTGAGGCACAGGATTGTAACATGGTACCAATGTTGCTACAATGAAGGTCAAAGACAAAACTACTTCTGTACTAAAGGGCCCTTTTAGTCACTGATACCCTGATTCAGGAAAGCTTGGGTCTCAGATTTCATTTATACTTCAGCATGTGCACTCAGCTAATCGCATACTTAAGTTCTTTGTTGATTTGGGGCCTTTAAATGCCCTCCTAAAACTGCTTTAGAAAGACACATTTCATCATGCTGGCTCTCATTTCAGGCATGAACATTTGGGGGTTAGATTGGAGGTTTAGAAGGTTAGATTTTAAAATGTAGGCGTTACTTAAATATGGTTAGGAAGAATGGGCAAGAACAGTGAAATGGAAGGTTTTCACTTACCAGGAAAATTTACGATTTTTACTGTGCTACTTTTAAATATCAGGACCCACTTGTATCTATTGGTCAGTAAAGCACAAATGTGTTGAATTCTTTGAAGATTTCAAAATCATGTACAGAAACTGCATGCTAAGCAATACTTTAATTCAAGATGTAAGCAGGGACAAAAATGGCGTGACAGAGATTTGTTGTGTGACCACTTTCATAGCCAGACATGGCCTTAATTGAAAGAAGAAACTGAAGCTGAAGTTGACTTTAGTTGAAGGTATGAAGGAAGGTTTGGAATTCAGATCAGACCAGTACATATCATGCTACAAGTACTTGCACCATAAACCAAAAATATTTTATTGCAAAACCATGTTGAGACCACCCAGTGCACTTAGGAACTTTTACCCTCTTAAGCAGTGAGCTTTTTGAAGCAAGAAGTGAGTCCCAATAGCTAACCCAATGGGCCCTTGAGCTTGGGAGAACATTTGATTTTTTTTCACTAACCCATGGGACTTTGAGTCTTGCTGTTGGCTGTCACTGCTATGTAAATCATAAATGAGAACAAAAAAAGTTTGCTAAGTCACAGCAATGTGCAAACCTTTCTCAATGTACTAGGACAGCAGTAGCCCCACTGGAGTTGTATACCAGAGACTCCTCAAGGTCACAGCTGCCCCCTTTGTAGGGTGCGACCCAGAAATGATAATACAGAGGTGGGGGAAGAAGCTCCATGCTCCTTTACTACCTCCCCTCCCTGTGTGGATCCTAATGAAAGGCTTTTGATAGTCCAGGGAGCCACAGAGCTGTTATGGTGTAGATTTGTGCACATATCTTTCTCTTGTGCACATCTTAGAGGGGTGATGAGTACTTAGGCTGTAAATCCGGGGCACAGTCTTTCTTGCTATGAGCCAGCACAACTGGTCCAGATTAACTCTGCTATGCAGAGGTGTAACTTCAGATGTTGGCACCTACTAACAGTGTGGTGGAAGCACTTACCTCCTGGCTCAGACTGGTGGTGGTGGCAGCTGCAGAGGCTACTGCTGCCTTGGCACGAGTTCCCTCAGCATGGACTGTGGGCATGTGCCTAATCTCCCTGGGACTCTCATTCTGGCATTCGCTCTGAATCTCCACCTGGGGCTGGTGCTTTATTGCGTCTCTCCTCCCCCTTCCCCCCCAAATTATGCTACTATCTTGGTGCACTAGCATGATATACTAATGATATCCCCATTTTCAGGGCCTACAAAATAAAAGCACAGAAATCAAATAGCTTGCCAAGGGGCCCACAGGAAAAATGTAACAATTGGGTATAGCAGCCAGAGCTCTAATTCTTTGTCTATTGCTTCAGCTATCAGATCCTTCTCCCACCTTTCCAGCACTTCATAAAATATTAAAGTTAATGGTGCAAAACTCAAATAATAGCACTTCAAATTACTGGAAATTACAGTTGAAATAGCAGCAGCAAGACAATCAAGAAAAAGCAAGACTGTACTGACTGAATGTTATTCTTAGCTGCTATTTTTAAAAGCAAACAGGGCTGAAGCAGGGTTATCAGATAGATGGGGGATCCCAGAGGCTGGGGTTTACTTCTTTAAAGAAAAATAAGCCTCTAGAATAGAGGTTTCTTTAGGCACAAGCTGCTGTCTGTGTGTCTCTGAATTATGACTAATTGAACAAACAGATCACCTCAATGCAGTGAGTACCCCTACTGTGTTTGGATGAAGATGTATTTGCTTCAGTTAGCTGCTGAAATGGGTTGGTCACAGATATGACTAATCCTTCATTTAGTAAGTACACTCTTGGATACCTTGCTGTCCACATCAAGCTCTGTTGTTGTTATTTCTTTTTGCAAAGATACACGTAGCTAATTTTATTGATCTTGATATTGCACCTTCAACATGTCTCTCTTAATTTCAGGATCTCTGTATTTTTAAAACAACAGAACCCAAATTTATTCTGCTTTATGGCAGCCCAGAAGATTATTTTTCATTTAGTAGGGGAGTTTGTAGAATTAATGGAAGAAATTTCCATAGTGAATTTTTTTCATTTTTCTCTATTTTACCTTGTAACAGTATGAAAACCAAATGAAGGATTGTGTCACTGCAACATAAAGGACTGACATACGAGTCAGGAAATACAGAATAATGATTACCACAGCAAGCTTAACACCGTGGCCTTGCATATCTGCCTGATGTTCATCTTACCAAAATCTAACCAATCTACAAAGATTGCACAATCTGTATTCTCTGGTCATGTCTGCAAACCCCTGGAGTTCCACTGCCTATCTCTGGCTATAGAAATCACACTATCACAGCACAAGTTAAGACATGCTTAGCAGGCAGGATCCCTAGTCAAACAAAGTATAAAAGGTGATTTATATTAACTAGCTATGATATAGATTCTCTTTTATCAAATACTACATTACTCCACTATAGAAAATGAAACACATTTTTGATAGGAATATGTAGGCAGAGTTAAATTTTGTTTGGTTCATCTTAAATCATTTCCCTGCTTTTCAACATTTGATTTTTTTAATTGAAAATTTCCATTTCTAAATGGTATCTTTAGGATTTATGGCAACATAGTAGCATGCTTCTTATTTTAAAGGCATTATAGTAAACTAATAGAAAGGAATTGTTCTTCTTTTAACTCGGGTCCTTCAGTAATTGTTTATAATGAAGTTGAACTTTGCGCTGTTGTGTTTAAACTACCTTCTTCTGTTACCTTCCATGTAAATAAATAGTATTTGATGTTCCTGCCTGTATGTTGTGTGCTTTTTGTTATGAAAGCTTCTTATGATGTACAAGCACCAGCAGGACAAGTCAAGAAGACTGTGGGATTTGATGATTTTTGTGAAATCTGAATCTCACCTTTGCCACTGTATGCTCTTAGGTTTTGTTGTTATTGTTGCTGGTTTTTTTAATTCTGGGGGGTTAGTTGGGAGAGAGGGGTGCTATTCTTACGCTGTGTGTACTTCTAAGCTCTGCAACAAATGGAGTCAAATAATTGAAAAAGTGTAATTATTAAAACAAAGGATCAAAATGTGGGCTTCATCCTCATCTGGCATATATTTAAAAGAGTTCCACAGGATCCTATGATGTTACACAAGTTAACAGCAGCCAGGGATCTGACCCCGTGTATTTTAAGTATGCTGAAGAAAGCATCAGGCTTTTGGAAACATCTTAACAGCAAACTCAGACATAACATCTGGACCTTTTTTTAAAAGAATAAATGTCTCACAAAATTCAAAGTAAGAATAAAGCTCTGTAGTATTCCAGCTTGCTTTTATGTGTTTAATTATCTGTTTAATAATATTTAATAAGGTTACAGTTGTCCTATGCAGATTTTCTAAAACTAATAGATGACTCTTAAATGAGTTGAGTCAAAGAGAATTCCAATCAACACAGAACACTTAAAAGCAGATATTCATATGATTAAAATAATACTTTGACCTGAGAGTTAGACAAGCTTTGTAAAATTCACTATTGATATAATTGGCCACAATCCTACTGCCTTCATCATCCTGTTGCTCATTAACAACAGATAATTTGTCTTTTTAAAATATCACTTAACCAAAACGTGTAAATAATAAACACTTCAAGGCTAAGGTTGTATAGATATAGTCTTATTTCACTTTAAAATTAAGAAAAAGACCCATATCTTGCCTTTGGTTTCACTCTGAATCTGAAAACTCAATAGCTTCAGAATTTAACTCTGTGTTAGATTCTGTGCATCAAGTGCCTCACAGTGCATACATTGCATGCGAGTCTCTGGCTTAATGGCAAAACTGGGTTGCCATTATTGAGTAGTTAACATAATGTTAGCTATATATATTATTTTCTTATCTCACCCACTCTAGTTTAGCAGTTTAGTCACAGCATTTCCTTCACTATTAATGCGCAAGCTTTTCCAAGTGCACTAGCTTTTCTACTATCTGTGCGCTAAATAGAAAGTATTTCCATGTATCCCCAACTTTATTGTAATGTTAGCACTGTCAAAGCAACCTGCTATACATGCAAGTTCATTACAATAGTCGCTAGACTAACAAGTGTAATTAAACATGCTAATTATGGTATGTAAAAATGCCTCACAGACAACATTACATCAGATATTCCATAACAGAAACCCAGTTGTGCCATTAAACCAGGATACTTTACAGTCTCTCTGACCACAGTTATTGCTTAGTAAATGTGAATCCAGTTATCCTGTTCCAGATTTACCATGCTTCATACTGTCTTACTTAGCAACTTAGGGTCAGGAAACTGCCAATGTTTTCCATGCAGACTCATAACAGCATATTCTCAGCTTTTACCAGAGGAGCTTCAGACTGATAGTATGGCCAGAGAAAAAAAATTGCTTAGTACTGACTATTAAAACAACCAGACAGGGTTAACTAGATTTCAGAAGCAATAATAGTAATAAAAAACTACAAAAGGAAATGCTCTTTTTTCTAGGCTGCTTCTCCTGTAATGTTGCACATGGTAATTCCATGAAATGTGTACTGTAATGTTTTAGGGGTGTACTTGGTAGCCGTGTTGGTTTGAGACAAGAAGACATACAAAAAACTAGAACTCTTGGACAATTTTCCAAAAATGGACAATTTTCTTGCGATTTCTCAGTTGGTCTAATAAAAGGTATTATTTTTGGAACCAAGAGTTCTAGTTTTTTGTATGTCTTACTGTAATATTTAACTCACACCATTATCATTTATCTTAGATGGAAACATTCAGGAGAGTGCCTTAGTGTATATAGGTTGTGCATGTACATGTGGGATGTATGGCGGGGGAGGGGACAAAGTTATTGTAGGAAATGGTAGTGCAAGAATTAATAACTGGCTTTGTGGAAGGAACTGCTCACTGTATAGGATATTTGGATTTAAACAAAAAGAACAACATGACAAGGTCAGCTGGTGTATATCAGCACAGCTTCATTTAATTTACACCATCTGAGAATTCAGGCCATAGTTTGAAAGACACACACAAAACAGACAATTTTCCTTTCCTCTCCAAATCTGTGTCCCTCTGACAGAAGGTTTGCAAACATATGAGCATCAGTGCTGTGAGACTTTTTCTCCCAGCACAAGTGTTAATGTATTAGCATAATCATATATTTACAGTAAAAGTTTTAAAGGCAACAACATGTTATTGAAATATTTGTCTAGAATGGGTTCCTTATGCACCAGTAAATAGTTACAAATCTTTCCAAAATTAGAAATCTTATACTCCAATAAGACAATGTGTAGCTTCTATTCCTCTTTGCATTTGTCAAAGGTTAACTTGGTTGCTAACCTTAATGTACTTAAAAAGAAAGCACACATCAGATTTTTTTTTAATTTTTTGTTATTCTATTTTAGATGCATTTAATAACAGTAGGTTTGAAATACTGAGATCAGTACTTCAGACCTGAAGATACTGCATATAAGCTATTATCCTGGCTTGTAGACCATTATTCTAAAGAAATAAATACATTTAAAAAATCAGACATTCACGGGTACAGTTTCTATCATACAAGTACCTTCATCTGGTCGAGAGCAAACTTGGCCCATTTCCCACTGCAGCAGTTACAGGTAGTTACAAGTATCTTTAGTTTCCATCCTTCTGTACCTTCCTCAGATTTCTAAACCTAAAGCAGCAAGGACTGCAGAGAAACTCAAGAAACACCCCAGGATCTCACCCTGTCTTTTAAAGGCTTGGAATTTTGCATGAAAAACAAAGTTGAATACAAATCCTGTTTGCATTAGAAGTAATTAGCTGACAGTACTGTCGTTTCTTTGTGGCAAGCTACAATTTCAGTTCTGCCTCAGCAACTCTTCAGTGGATTCTGCTTCACTGAATACAGCAGTAACCTAGCAGGCTGTCTGAAACCATCTTCGGGAGAACATTAACATTCCAAAGGAGTACCAAAAAAATCATCACAGGGCATTCCCATACCTTAACAAAATCAAAGCCATAAATCTGCCAGCATTCCTCTCTCCTCCATTGATTCCTGTCAGTAATCGTCCTTTTTTTGATGCCAATTAGCACTCTTTTATCAGCAGAGCTGATTATTGATTATGGTTTGTGACCTTCAGACAAACCTCTTAACTAAGGGACTTCAAAGGAACAATATGTGATAATAATTCCAAGGTATGCTTGCTAAGGAAAATAAACCGACCTTGCAATGGGACAGCATGTATCCGAGAGAGGTGTGGAGGTATTCACCAACACCTCTGCTGCGTGTTTTAAAGCAGATATCTGAGATTGCCTTTTACCTGGAAGCGCCATGTGTTTGATCATTGCTTGCAAACATGGCCATGGGTATTTTTATTTGAAGCAAAACACCTTCTCAAGCAAGATACGTCTCATTTTCCTTTCCCAAAAGAAAAGTAATAGATTTCTAATCCTGTGTCAAGAAGGGGACATTTATTGAAAAACACTATTTCACCAATTTATGCAAAAACAGGTTAGAGAGGCATTTGTGTCACTCCCCAGGCTAGGGAGCAGTGTGGAACCACTGTTCTACAAGAGGCTGTGCACGCAGTGCCCCCAGGACAAATAATTTTCTGTCTGTTTCCCAGCATGTATTGACTGCTACTTTGGGAGGTCCCTGTGCCCATAAGTAACTGCTATTATGGTCACTTTTCCAGCACAGGCTCTTCTGTTACCTTTTCCTAGAAATGTGGTCTTACAGTCTACCAGCCCAGGTGCCCCAGCCACCTCTCCCCAAAGTTCAGTATTGAATCTCAACCCAGCCTTTCCCGCAGCTTAAGCATATCCATCCCTAGAGCTCCAACTTTATGGCACTCATAATTCAACATTACATCTCCAACAAAACATGGTTCTCAAAACTTACAGATATGTTGATTTTGCAAACATTTCTAAGTACAGTTACTCTTTACCTTAGACAGCACAAAAGATGTACTTATGACTAAAAAATAATAGCATCTTCAAGCATTTCCCTGTCCAGTGTCCTTCTCCTTCAGTTCATGGTTTCTCCTCTGAATCCCTGCAGTCCACCCCTCTCCTTCCAGCAGCAGTCAGCATCTTTTGAACTTAGCTTGTTCCATAGTCAGAAACAGGCTTTTCATAATGCCTTTCTCTTCCTTTCCCTTTCCCAAGCTCTCTGTCTGAGAGGTCCATTAAGAAAGGCAAAGTTTTTTTCTTTTTGGGGGTGTCTTTTACTGGATCAGCTGTATAGTTGGGAGAGATGTTGGACAAGCTTTCAGGCACTATGGGCACCTATACATGTGACAGAGTTCTGCTCTGACATGTGCTAATTAGCAGACATTGGAGCAGACTCAAACAAGTCTTCTGTGAGTCTGTTGGACTGCAGTAATTAGTCTGCTCCAGCAGCCTCTGTGTCATGTGTATTCAGTGTGCCTGCATTTCAAAATGGTGGAGGGTGGGGGTGGGGGGATACTTTAAATAAAGCTTGTTGAATGAGCTTCAGTTAAAGTGCCCCTGCCATCATTTTGAAGCACAGTGCTGAATACACATGATGCTGGAGGTGCTTTAATTAGAGGGGTTCTCAGAACTGCTCTAATTAAAGTGCTCCCCCATCCCAGAACACATAGTTCTTTGTGCCTGACATCTTTTCCCAACTATACAGTTAATCCAATAAAAGATATCACAGAAAAAAACCTCTTGCCTCTTGTACATCTCCTTATTGTAACAGGTACAGCAACACTCCAATACTACTATTTTACGTAAGCACCAATCACTACCACATATCTTGCATCCTATGATTTTTAACTCCCCAAGTTAGTACCTGATTTCTTTGCTCCTTTCCTTGGGTATTTTCTACTTTCCCAGCCTGAACCCCTTCAAATGAACTTGAATGGACTGGTTTCTTCAGGCACCAGCCATTCAATTGCTCCCTGGTGCAGACATGTGAATGAAAGCCATCGGGGTTTAATAGGTTTCTGTTTTTCCTAGTTTGGTAGGTCTGTAATACAGCCCCAACAATGAATGGTGGATTCTATATTCACTGAGGCATTTATCAATTTCAGATTAAGGAGCAGCTCTAAGTGGGACATAAGCAGATTCTCCTTATCATCACAGAATGTTAACACAATAACAGTGCAGGCCTCGCTGAAGTAGGGATTAAGACAACTAGGGTGTCTCTACACAAGATTTTACTGTGGAGTTGCCTAATTAGCTCCAAAGTAAATGTCTCCTAGCTACACACGCAGTGTTATTAGGCCCCAGGAAACTAATAAACTCTGCAGCAGTGTAGTGCTTGTAAATAGAAGTACTATCCTACTGTAGAGTTATTAACCGTGCAGCAACTCACATGCAGATGCTGACCTTAGAGTAAATTGCTTCCAGTCAGCCCAGCCAGCAGAGGGTCACACTCCTGCCTGCTGCCTAGCCACATGGTTTGGCAGCTGCAGGAAGCTTGTAGCCCAGCCAGCAACTTTGCTGCCCAATGCAGCCACTGCTGGCTGGGCCTGACCTCTTATGCCCCCTTCCAGCCCAGGGCTGCCCCTCAGGCCCTAGGCCACACTGCCACTGCCAGGTAGAGTACAGGGCTGACTCCTGTGCCCCTTACCAGCCTGGAGCTGGCACCCAGGCAGCTGCAGGTGAAGCCAGGAGCTCCCCCTGCCTGCTTCAGGGGGTTAGAGCAGGGCAGGAACAGCTCTGACCTAAACTGCTCCTGCCTGGCTCAATTTGCTGCTGTCCTGAGTGCACATGTAGACACTGCATCTGGAGTAGTTTATTCAGTTACTTTAAATGCATACGGAAATGTGCTCCCATTGATCAGTGCATATACAAATCACACAGTGGCCCTGCTAACAGCATGAACCAAAGTATACCCCAGTGAATATGAAATTAGGCTTATATGCATTGCACAGAAGTGCTGGAAAAAATGTTTGATAGTTTTACAGGTGCTGTCAAAGCCAACAGAGAATGAATTGATGAGACCAGTACAGAAGACCAAAACAAGGATCAGAGTGACTTGGCAAACAGGTGTTTCTATCTGGTGGGGAGGGTGAGAAGTAGGATGTACATTGTATCACCTAAAGATGTTTTAGTAATTGGTGGGAACTAGGATGTGTATGCTGCAAACTAAGGCTGCTTGTACATGCCACAGGGATTTACTTCAGTTTAATTCTCCCTAAATTGAAGTGGTGGGTTTTTAAAAACACCGCTTCAATTTAGGGATGTGGCAAGGGCCGAGAGATCACCGTGCCACGGAAACATGGCAGCAACAGCAAGACCACCATGCTGCAAGACTCACTGGAGGTGCAGCCATGTCCCAAGCTGTAGCTGGCAGGGGCGAGCGTGCCTGAAGAAAAAAAACCTGCTGCTGGCATGCTGATGTGCTGGTGGGGATGGCGAGAAGAAGCCAAAAACCCCATGAAACTGTCCAAGAGGGGAACCAGAGTGGGTTCCCAGCAGCCAAAGGAAAGATGCAGTCAAGCTACGAGCCCCAGGAGGGGTGATTGGTGGCAGCCTCTGACAGAGAAGCTGGCACTGCAAGCTGGCTTGGAGAAGTCATATGACTTACCTAAAAGAGGGATGCAGAGGTCCAGCTTTGGGGAGTGGAGCCGAGGTAGTGGTGGATCTACAGGACAAAAACAGAGAGAAGACTGGTAAAAAACCATGAGTAAAGGACAGAAGGATGTTGTTGCCCCTCTTGAATCCTTTTGGGGTATATTAGTTTATTTGGACTGAGCCTAAAAGAGCCAAGTATAGAATGGAACTTGGTGCAGGTGAATCAAGTCTAGAGTGGGACTGAACTAAACCTAAGTGAAATTACTTCCATGCAACATCTGTGAGACAATGGGTTGGCGATAGATGGGGTGCAGGGGAGGGAGAGCCCCAATGTTCTCATGCTAATAATTAGACCTAACAAGATACCACTGATCAAGGATCTAACATCATTCTCTGAAGACTGAAGTTCCATCAAAGACATGGCAGGTGGTCTTGATAACTGGTGCCAGTGGTCAAACTGTCAGTCTGTAATGCCATGGTTAGCTCTGGGCAATTAGAAAAACATAAACAGGGAGCTCAAGACAGGGACCTGGAGACAATTAGACATTTCAGAAGGGTGATCCTAAAATGTACATACCAAGCAGTGAGTTGCTTAGAAGTAGCTAATAGGAAATGCAGAGCATCCAACTCCTTTCCAGAGCTCCAGTGCCAGAGTCAGGACTCCAGGCAGGTAACTTTCTCCATTTGGGATCCAGACTCTGGCATCCTCTCCTGAAAGCCAATATATTTATTGTCCAGAATAAGTGAGTTTTGTTAATTTCTTTCTTTCAGAGCTTCTGGAGAAAGAGATGTTATCTGTAGTATCTACCTCATCTTGGATGAGTGCTATAATTAGGGCATTATATTATAAAATTATAAAATTAGCTGTGCAGTGGTGCTATTTTGCGAAAGAACCATTCCTGTTGGAGTGTCAAGCATGCTCGGAGATTGCCCTTCATAGAATATGAATGCTGCTCTCCTTAGTTTCTAGATTGCAATGGGGTTTAGATGGGAGTTCAGGACTGCTGCAGTTCTAGGCATGGAGAATTTCAAGTACCTATGACACTTCCTATCAAACAAGGAGGTAATTCTAGTGAGTTTAGGCACTTGCTAAACTGAAGCTACTTGAATATAAGTTTTGGACTTAGGTGCCCCAAATCCACCAAAGTCCTGTTTTAGGTTCTTAAATCCATTTTGAATCTGGCTTCTGAGTGTTGGATGCCATAAATACCAGCAACGTTGTACTGTAGCTACCAAATTAGCAATGTCTCTAATAACTGTTCCATATGATTTACTATAGTCATATCCTTATGTCCCAACTCAGGTTTTAACAATACTTTACTCCAGGAAAGTCAGCTGGTGACTGCCACA